TGCTATTACTGCTGCTCCCAAATGCTGATGGCACCGGCCCCTCTCGCACCCACTGACAGTGTAGAGCGATTGGGGCCAGCACCATGCCCACGCGCACCTGCTGATGGTGTGGGGCAATTGGGGCCGGGGCCATTAGTGAGTGTGAGTGGTGGCTGCTGTCCTGATCACCCCTCAGGAGCAGGGGGACGTGAAGAAGACCTGAGGGGCAATCAAGGCAGGCAGCCGCCGATGGCACTGAGCGACTGGGGCCAGCGTCGGGTGCCAGCATTCATGTATTTGTTAATTGGTACTAGGGGCGCAGCGCATGAATTCGTGCGCCTTGAAAGGAGCTGGGAGCCCCGAGGCTGCAGTGGGCACAGGGGTGGGTATTGGCCCATCCTCCATGCCCCTGCCCAGCCCCTCCTGCCATGGTTCCCAGTCTCCTGTCTGCCAGCAGCCCCACTCCTGCCGCGCCGCTCCCACGTGCTGACGGCACCAGCCCTGCTTGCACCCACTGACAGTGTGGAGAGATTGGGGTCAGTGCCAGCAGCAGGTGTGAGCGGGGCCAGCGCCATCAGGGGGTGAGAGCAGCAGCTGCTGTCCTGATCACCCCTCAGGAGTGTCCCCCCCTCCGCTCCCTGCTCTGCTTCCGGTCTGGGGATCTGTCAGCCGCTACTTCCCGAGTAGACTTTTAGGCGGATAGAATCCTTGGGACAAAGATAGCTAAGAACGCGCCTGGGGGGAAATGAGGGCAGGCAGCCGCCGATGGCACTGAGCGACTGGGGCCAGCGTCGGGTGCCAGCAGTGGCTCCAGTGCTGGCAGCGGGTGCAAGCAGGGCTGGTGTCAGAAGCAGGTGCAAGCGCCAAGCAGGACCACGGTGCATGGGAGCAAAGAATTTTCAGTAATCACCAGAGGCTTGCCCCAGTGACAGTGACTGGCGCCCTGCCTTGGTCTGGTGCCCCCACTCACCTGCTCCACCATCCCGCCATGGCCGATGCCTGCCAGTTCCACACTCTATCGCCTGCTGTCGACTTCCACCATGTTTTGTGCGTGCCCCCTGGTGGTCAGCACACGTCATAGCAACCAGTTGTTCCACCTTTCAGTCTACTTGCATATTAGGGTTTTATATATAAAGATTGTATTTTTATTTTTATTTGTTTAAATATATTTTTGTTGATTTCAGATAGGGAGAGGGAGAGAAAGACAGAAACATCAATGATGAGAATCACCAACTGGCTGCCTCCTGCATGCCCCCACTGGGGACCAAGCCCGCAACCGGGCATGGAATCGAACCCGGGACCCTTCAGTTCACAGTCTGATGCTCTATCCACTGAATCAAACCGGCCATGGCGGTACTGTATTTTTAGGTATAAAATCTCAATTGCTTGTTACTAGCATATAGCAATGCAATTGATTTTGTATATTGGCCCCGTTTTTTCCTGTAATCTTGCTAAAATTCATTCATTAGTTCTAGCAAGGTTTTTGTAGATTGCTTGGGATTTTCTGTGAACACAATCATGTCATCGGCAAATAAAGATTTTTACTTTTTTTACAATTTATATGTCAACTCATTCTTTTTTGTGCCTTTATTGCCCAGATAATGTTGACTAGAACTGATGAGAGTGGACATCCTTACCTTGTCCCAAACAGTTTTTCCTCGGCTTTCTAACTTGTCCGGTATTAGGTTAAGGAAGTTCCTTTCTTGTCCTAACTTACTGGGAGATTTTTTATTTAATCATGAATGGGTATTCAATTTTGATAAATGTTTTTTATCTTACAAAGGCTGTATATTGGGTATTTAGATCATTAACTTTTTAAAAAATAATTATTTATTGTTGAAAGTATTACAACAATAAAAGTCCCCCTTTCTCCCCCATTGACCTCTTCCAGCCAAGATCATTAACTTTGAATGTTATTAACATTTTAGGTTTACTTTCATCATCTTACTATTTATTTTGCATTTATTCTTTGTTCCTTTCCTCTTATTCTGCATTCTTTTAGATTAATCCAGTACTTTTTGTTATTCCATTGTCTCCTTTGTTGACTTATTAACTATGTCTTTGTTTTGTTATTTTAGTGATTATTTTAAAGTTTATAGTATACATCTTTAACTCATCAGAGTCTACCTTCAAGTAATAGTAGGCACATTATATGTGGCATAAGAATTTTATAATATTGGTGGGGCAAAAGTAGGCTTTCAGTTGTGAGTACACAAAACACAGTTTATTCTTGTATTATTATTTATTAATTACTGTATTATTTTCCATACAAACAACTATAAACCTACTTTTGCCCAACCCTTCTGTTGTTGTGTCCTTCTGTTGTTATGTGTTTTAGTTTTACACATGATATAAGCCATACACTACACTCTGATTTCCCCCGGCTTTATTGAGATATTGATACACTAGAGGCCCGGTGCACAAAATTCGTGCACAGGTAGGATCCCTAGGACTGGCCAGCAATCAGGGCTGATCAGGACCGTCCGGCTGCCAACTGGAGCTTTCCTTCATTGCACGCCACCCACTGGTGGTCAGCGCATGTCATAGCAAGTGATCGAACTCCCGGTCTCCCAGTCAAACTCACGAGGGGACACTTTGCATATTAGCCTTTTATATATAAAGATAACATACAAATTTAAGATGTACAACGTATTTTAATACATATATATATTATGGAATTATCACAATAAGGTTAGGTAACACTTCCATTTCCTCACATAATTACCATTTGTGTGTCTCTGTGTGCTGATAACATAGAAGATCGATTCTCTTCACTTCCAAGTATATAATACAGTACTGCTAGTTATAGTCACCTTATGTACATTCAATCCCCAGAAGTCATTCATCTTAAACCTGGAAGTTTGTACCCTTTGACCAACATCTCTCCATTTCCCTCGGCCCCTGACAACTACCACTCTACTCTCTATTTCTATGAGTTTGGCTTTTTTTCACATATAAGTGAGAACATACAGTATTTGTCTTTCTCTGTTTGACTTATTTCACTTTGCATAATTCCCTCAAGGTCCATCCATGTTGTCAAAAAGGCAGGATTTTCTTTATGGCTTAATTTCATTGTGTATACCTTCCACATTTTCTTTATCCATTCTTCTATTGATAGACACTAAGGTTGTTTGCATGTCTTGGTATTGTGAATAATATGGCAATGAACACGGAGACGCAACTATCTCTTCAAGAGAGTGATTTCATTCCTTCATATATATATATATATCCAGAAGTGAATTGCTGGATATATGGTAGTTCTATTTTTAACTGAGGAAACTCCATACTATTTTCTGTAGCACTTGCAACATTTTACAATCCTACCATCAGTGCACAGGATTCTAATTTCTTCATATCTCACCAACACTTGTGTGTTTTTAATATTAGGCATTCTAATGGATATGAGACAATATCTCACTGTGGTTTTAAGCTACACAGCCCATCCCCTTTTCAAAGAAGAAGCAGAATTGCCCTGGCAGGGAGTTCGGGAGGAGGAGAATTGCTTGCTTTTCTCATCTCTCCAAGTTGCTCCAGATGCATGGTTACTGAGCCCTGTCTATCTTTCCAACCTCCCTATTCCCCCAGGCATCCTAATCTCCATCCATACTGATCTACTTGGAGAATCCTGTACCATAGTACTTGCCATCTCTGTGCTTCTGTGCCATGTTCTGTCATCTGCCTTGAACCTACATTAACCAGTTTTCTCAGCTCAAGTAGCACCTCCCAGCCCATCTTACCCTTTATCATTCCTTCTCTTTTTGTGCCTCTATTATCACACCACGTTGCATCTTAGAGGACTTCTAGAGATCAGAGAACCTGTCTTTTCTCCATTAATGTTTTTAATGTATACCAATGAATAAGCTGAGCTAGACTAAAGTCTCAATTGGCAGACCACCAGGTTTGTTTGTTGAACAGTTTTATTAAGATACAATTCAGAGTTGTGAAGCAATCAGTATAATCTAATTCTAAAACACTTGGTTTCCCCCCCAAAAGAAAACTCTACCCTTTAGCCGCTACTCTCCATTTCCCCCACCAAACAGTACACTCCCCAGCCCCAGACAACCACTAATCTATTTTCTCAGATCACCAAATGTAACATGGGCAGATTGGTCACAAACCTTCATCAACATCGACTCTGGACCTTGATGTGAAATTTGGTCGATAACTGTGCCACTTTACCAGCTGGTCCTGCAGAACCTAAACTTACCTCGTAGCTCCAGGGTGGATCTGCCGTTTATCAGACGACTTGATAGGGATTTTATTAAAACTAGATCCACACTGAACACTGGTGGTTGGTTTGGGCTGGCCTGACTTTTCACCGTTTCTGCTGAAGTAAGCCCTCTGAAGCTGTTGATACTCTGGCAGGAAATAGGGCACCTGGAAAAACCTCCCGCTCTCTGGTCGCAATTGGACAAGGGCCCGATAACTTCCTCTGGAGAGGTCAGCCGCCGGGGAGATACCGCGGAAGAAGCATGGCGTGCACAGTCGCGGTCCGGGGCGTTTATGCTTAACCGATTCTTCACAGGCTCCCTCTGGATGGGCGCTGTGCGGGTGGACTTGCCAGGAGGCCTGGAGGATCAGAACCCAGTTTCCCGGGAAGCCGCATTTTTCGAATGGGGTCGGGTCTACCGCGGGGCCGGGCAGTAGCATCTCCCCTCCCGGCCTCGCGTCCACGTCGCGTCTGCAGTGACGCCCCTGGCGCCCCCAGTGACGTACGCGCGGCGCGGTGCACGCTGGGATATTTAAGTCTTCTCCGCGGCGCGGAGCCGCGATGTCTCCGGCGGCTGCGGCGCCTGGAGGAGGCGATCGCTCGTTCGGAACGCGCGGCGCCAGCGAATCCTGTTCACCGCGCCCCCGGCCAAGTCGGCAGCCAACGGAAACCTCCTAGAGCCGCGGACCCTGCTCGAAGGACCCGACCCCGCCGAACTGCTCCTGATGGGCAGTTACCAGGGCAAGCCCGGCCCCCCGCAGCCTGCCCCGGTCCCCG